ATTTTGGCTGTAAACATGGCGCACTTAAGAAAGAAACGTCAGACAGCCGGGAATGAAACAGATGGCGAACACGCTTGTGAAGAGATTGTAAAAACCAACAAAGGTATACAAATCACTTGGCTTAACAAATTTATTTATCTACTGTTAAAATAATTTTTACAATGCCTGAGGTAACGTTGATGAGCTGTATTAACATATCAATACCTAAAATTACTGGAATTTTTTCCCCATTTGTTTCTGATTTGTTTGTTTGCCTGTTTATTTATACTTACCATGCAGTGTCTTTCAATCAAAATGGCCTCGTATGTAGTTTCTTTACAGCCGCAGATCGGGGGATTAGATTTAGCTCAGTCTGTTTATCGTCTGTTTTTCATATTACTTTATTACCTCTTTTCTTAAGACTTTTATTTTTATTTTTGTTCCTTTGTAACACAAAACGTATCAGCTTTTTATCAAAGCTTGACCCCGAACTTGAGGACTAAATAACAAAGGGCGGAAACTCACGGAACGCCATACGAGAAAAAAAACGAGTATGGAACACCCAGATTATACCATACCAGATTCCCTTCTATATGAGTATGTATTTTTGTAGCACTTCTCCCAAGGAGGTAACAGAGACGTTAAGTATTTAGACTGCGAAACAGTCCGTATTTTTGCGTATTCAGGTACGCGCGAGCAGTCAAACAAAAGGTCTGGAACGAGGCTAAAAACGGAGAGCGAGACTGGGGCTGGGGGAGACGCTAGAATACGCCTCACATGCCCTACGGGCGAGGAAGGGCTCGCGGGCTTCGCGCGGACGACTCTTACGCCACACTTTAGCGATTTTAAGAAAAAAAGATACCCGAATGTTTTGCAGTCTAAGTATTAAACTCTTAATAACTGGTTACGAGGGAAACAGTTAATTTTGTTTCTCGAGAATCTCAATGTTGCCGAGGTGAAGCCGAGGAAAACATTGAACTTGGAGGAAAACAATGTTTCCCGATTGACCAGTCTTTAGTGATTTGTTATGTAGCTGGCAATTTTGAAGCTGGAAATTCATTTAACCTCGCTATAACGGCTGTCATCTGTCAACATTCGCGGATAACATTGCATTGTTACCTTCTGACGTCATAGATTGTTTGCAATGTTGTCCGCTCAGAGAGTTAGGCAGGAATCAGTTTCGTTGTTAGATGTTATGTGACCTCGAAGTAACCAATGAGACCGCGCACTGTTGAGAAGATATTTCCAGCTATATAACAATTTAGCTTATCATGATGACTGAAAACAATAGTGGCCCGATTTATTTTCAGAGGAATGATCAGTGTGTTGGGTTTCCCTACCGGGAATTCTCATATCACTAGAGATTTGAGGTACGATCCCGGGGAGGGGGGTACTCCATACGATGCCCTATAGGGACCTATATGGAGAGGCTCCGCCGGAAAGGGCCATCTTTTTCAGGCTTCAGGTTTATGAGAAGGAGGGATTTCATTAGTTGAAGTATATGGAAGGGTAGGGATTTAACAAGTTAAAGTATATATAAGGGTAGGGAAATCTGTCATTTGGGTCTGTGAAAGGACCCAAAAGGGGTCACAGATGAATTTTATGGCTTTATAAAGTCGAGAAAACGTGGTGTTTTTGTGATTGATTTCTATTTAAAAGACAGTGCATTTACGGCAATTAAAGGGGTTGCAAGGTTCTAAAGAAGGTATGTGAAAGGGGTAACATTTGTCAATAGAAGGTATACGGAAGGGGTACCTTTTCTGAAAAATTATATATTAAAGGGTAAGGGGTTGGACTTCGGGGCGGGATACCCAAGTCACTGTGACATGGCAGCTTTTCAAACAGGCCCTTCGGAGCCACGACCGCGCTGGCGCGAAAACTTCACTTTACCTCGACCTCTTGTACACTAATTATTATTACAGTATTTATCCTGTCTCGTCCAATAATTGAAAAGTAGCTAGGGGAGATACGAAAAATCGAGTCCAGTGGATAGCGTTATCCACCATTTGAACAACTGAAGCCAGGGGTTAATTTTTTAAAAACTTTTGCAAGCGTAATTTACAAGTGAAGCTTTTGTTTTGAGACTCTAAAACTCTACTTCTTTCCTATCACGTTGCATGTCATCTGACTGCTAGTCCTCCTACCCCTCTGCTATTGCGTTCGTGTTGTTGTTTTGCACACATCCCTCGGGAACCTGGGCACAAACAACCATGAAATCCCTTTGCTTACTCGATAACTCCCCAAAATGCTTTTAGCTTGACCTTGTACCCGTCTAATTTACTCCGCAAGCTGTGTTATAATTGTCGTTCCACAAGATCGTAGCTTCCTTACGCAAACCTTCTCAGGGCCTCGTCACGAAGGAGGCTAACAAAATTGTTTCGCTTTAAAAGTGGCGGCAATCAGTATACGCGAAACTCAGACTTAATTTCTTTCTTAACACACAGGCCATGTCGCGTCCTAATGTGTACAAAACGATTCAGGAATTCCACAGTAAAACATGCATCCGATTTCAATACTACAACAGGGCAGTCCATGGGGGGAACTACATTCGATTTGGAAATAGCGATGGGTAAGTCATCAAAAAGAGGAACCCAGAGGTGCGCTATGTTTTCTTTCTTTCTTTTTCTCTTCTTTTTATATCAGTTCTTTTCTTAGCAGGATTAAGGCACAAAACAGCTTAAAATAATTACACAAAAAAAGGTTCAAATAACTTACTTTGCCTGAGAGGAGCACGGAGGGTTGACTGAATTAAAGGGAAATTACACTGTTCACCTGTCAGCTGTCCTGTAAGATTGCCCTTTCCCTTTCCCTTCCCCGCTACCTTCCCCCCTCCCCCCCACCTTGCCCTTTATTTTTCCTCCTGGTAAAACGCGCATGTGGATAGGAGTACCCTGCAACTTTGTTCTTTGAAGTGAATAACTGTTCAAATGAGCAAATATATAGAGGATATTACACGGTGGCGAGAAGATATGAATTTTATGTTCTTGCCAAGAGAACATAAAATTCATATCTTCGAGCCAACGTGTAATGTTCTTTTTATTATATGGAGAAACCAATTCAACAAAAGCAAAAGGCGGGAATCGTGATGTCATTGAACGATACGACACTCACAAAGGTGACATACGGAAAATACGCCACTCGGGTCCCGGATGAAGTGGCGTATGGATTCTACGAGTGGTTTAGTTCCCAGTAAAACACTCTCCTCCATATAATAAAAACATTTCCTTGCCTATTCCCCCTAAGACGTTTTCCCAGTCCCTCTCGGTCAATTCAATTCGTGGACGAAACCGAGGCGAACGGACGGGAAACATCACATCTTCGCTTGCACTACGTGACTCAAAACGCTTTGGCAGCGCGGAATAATGAGGCCTAGGGACTATCCAAAATATTTCCTAGAATTTTCTTAAGACCGAGAAAGGCTAAAAATTTCTGGATAACCGCAGATATTCAGGGCTTTTTTTTTCTGGTATATAGAAATGCAACTGATGGCTTCTCATGTCCTCGAACTTTCGACCGGACCCATCATGGTAGCTAACAGTTTCAGGGGAGACATGAAGAAAATCCAATGACCTTAAAACTGTCAAGACTAGAAAAGTTCCCCTAAGAAATCCCATTGGATAAAATAGTTTTTAGAGCAGCTCAGAATTAACCACTCCGGTTTCTAAAGCATTGAGAGAAAACCATTTGAGAAACTTCTGGAGTTTTTCTTTTCTTCATCTAAACGTTTTTTATCATTTTAGGTGTTCATCAAAGGTGCGAAAGCATTATGCTCAAAGCATCCCTCAAGAAATCTCCCTTGCTGATGGCTGTAATAACGTCCCAACAATCGTGCATGAAATGATGCATGCAATAGGTAATTTTTCTCTCGCGCTTCAAGTATGCGATGAATAAAAAGATCATGGGCTGCCCTTATCGCATGTTCTAGCTAGGTGTTCAAGGCTTGCATTCGGGACTACAATGTGATCTACAGTATATGGTTTGCAGAGGTGTAGCCAGCTTTTCGACTTATTGTAGGCTTGGCTGGCTTTCATGTCCACCTGTCCTGAAAATTGTACACATGGCTATGTACGCAGTGACCTCACCAACACTTTTAGCTCTTAATATAAGTTTTTTTTAGCTCACCCTAACAACGCATAATTTATTACAAACAGTAGACTGGTCAAACCAAAAATTTGTAGTCCCAGGCCTTCAGGTCTATCGGCTGGCTACGCCCCTTATTGAAGTATCAATGATGTTTCGTTTCAACAGTTCTTTACTTTGCTCAGGAGAGAATAAATAACTTTATAGTTATCCTCTCTTGCTTTGCTTTAACGCACTCCGTTACAAAACCTTTCTTCTTAAGGTGGCTGAACATAGTTTTGGCAGTTTGTGAGTATATGTCGTTTGTCAAACATGGCAAGAGAAAGGTTGTAGCTCACAAGCTGAAACTTGGCAGGTGAAAAATATGCTGATGAAAGATTTTGATCGACAGGTAAAATGTGACGTTTTCGTTGTTTCCATGGCAACAGGAACGATTGAACACAACCTTAAAATTTTACTTTGCTCAGTTTACATAAAATTCGCTCATTAGATTTTCCTATAAACTTGCACGCAGCTTACTATAAGTAATCATTACCATTTGAAACTTATTTGACCAAATTTTAATAGACGGGTTTTTAGATAATCAATAATGTAATTGTATCGTAATTGTTAAATGTATCACAAAATTCGTCTGTTCAACTTCCATTTTAAAGTTCTCATTAATTAAATACGATAAAAGTCCAAATTCTGCCAAATATCACAAAATTATAGTGAGTAGATTTTGAGAAACTGGTTTCTGTGTACCAATGCGTTTTTCGCCGCCATGTTTGTTTGCCTAATTTTAAACACACGCCGTTACCGCTGACTGCCCGCAAAACTTTGTTCAGCCACCTTAACGCAGGTGAACCAAATTGTGTAATGTGAACGAGTCATAGCCGTCTACGAAGGTATTACTAAAGAGAGAATGGGTAGCACGCATGGGAACTGCAAAATGAAATAAC